AAAAAAAAAAAGAAATAAATGAGCCAAAAAAAAAAAAAAAAGAAATAACCATTTTAACTATGCAAGCATGTATGACAAGTATGCAGAGGCCATTTATTTGGTCCATAAATACAGTATAGTAGTATTTGAGTTTTACAAAACATCAAGTATTATAAATAACCTGAAACTATAACAATTCATAAAAATTAGCATCTTACACGGATATCCCAGGCGGTGTAAGCTGGAAAGTTGAGTAAATTAACATTGTTTTACATTAATATACACAGTGCCACTTAATATTTATTTATTTATTCAAGATTTTATTTATTTTAGAGATAGAAAGCATGAATGGGGGAGGGGCAGAGGGAGAGAGAACCGCAAGCAGACTACACACTGAGCACAGAGCCCGACATGGGCTTGATCCCAGGACCTGAGATCATTCCTTGACCCGAAATCTAGAGTCGGACGCTCACCCAGCTGAACCACCCAGGCACCGCAGTGCCAGTTAACATTTAAAAAACAAGTTTCAATGCATAGCACTTGATATAAGGAGTAACTTTAATTTCTAGTACAACCAATATTATGTGAGGACAGAATAAGCAATTGCCTCTGTAATTCAAAGGTATTTAGAGCAAGATGTAAAGATTGTCTTTCAGGTTAGCATATATAAAAAAATCAACATAGTAAAGGGAAGGTAGGCTTCTCTATGGGAAATCATAAATTGCCCCCACATGAGCTTTTGAAATACCCAAGTACATCCTCCACCGCAATAAATCTTAAAAAATTGCTGAACACTTTGCATCTTTTGTAAAATATTTTATTTAATAAATTTTGTTAGATTTAACTTGAATTCTCAGTGATCAGAATTCTTATAAATAATTGCCTTATATAAGAGGCTCTCCACCTACCATCATAAGACAGACTATTGAGACATCCATTAGTCCATTTTTTTACCTTAAAAACAGAAAATAGGAAAGTACCTGTGCAAAAAACTCAAAGCTGCCAAAAAATTTTACTGTTTTGTTGTAGTCAACACCTAAAGATAGGGCCCTCTCAGCCTCTGTGCAGGGTGGGAGCCTAACTTCTATGAGCACCAGTTAGCAAACCCAGATGAATTTTACACTCCTTCCTGATTTTTGTAATTTTTCATTTCCCTGATTCCACTGAGCTCCTGCTCATGCCCTCCCTGCTCCCTCATTCTCTCCTTAAAACATCAAGCCATCTCTAATACACACACACACACACACACTAATATGCAGACTCATCTAGGAATACGAACTTTTTGACAGTTTTGGCATTTTTTAAAAAGATTTTATTTATTTGAGAGAGAGAGAGTACAAGAGGGAGGGAAGGAGCAGAAGGAGAAGCAGACTCCCCGCTGAGCAAGGAGCCTGACGTGGGGCTCGATCCCAGGACCCTGAGATCATGACCTGAGCCGAAGGCAGACGCTTAACCGACTGAGCCACCCAGGCGCCCTGTTTTGGCATTTTGAAAAGTAAACCTGATACCCTATTTAATCTCAAACTTTGCACAAAGTGTTCTTAGTACAGGAATAAACCCACTGTGGCGACTATGGCATGTGAACTTATATTCACTTACCATCATACCACCCACAAGCATAACTGGTTTCTGTGCATTTGAGTCTGTGAGGAGCTGATGTGTATGGCCATCAGTTCAGACCGTCGTCATCTGCTGCCTCAAGTCCAGACCTGTAGTTCTGAGGCACAAAGCATTTGTCTAGGGTAGGGCGGTGGTCAGCCTGGATGGATGGGAAGCAAAACAATCCTGGTTGACCAGAGTGCCTTGTCCTGGATGAAGTTGCTCATGTCCCATCATTACAGGAGCCAGATCTGTTGGCCTGATCACTCCTGCCTTGCCATCCCTGGCCAGAGCTTTTAGTTTCAGTATGCTTCATTTCTTCATCAGTAAGAGAAAGGAAAGAACCATCAAAGAACTAGTTTTTTTGCTTTGGGTGTGTGTGCGAATATATTTGCATTGCTGAGGCTTCTTTCCCACTGTGGTACTGATAAAAGTTTGCATGGTTGAACTCCAAGTTTGATTTCAAAAGGGAATGGCCTGTCTTTCTCCTTACAAAATAAGCCTCAAAAGTACATGAATGAGCTGCAGCATTTTAGCTGTCTGAATACTGGCCTGTGGCCTTCACTCTTGGTGGCCATAGAGAATATTCACCATATTGCTTCCTGGCTGTGAGTGGATGTGTTAATTTACTTTAGGAGCTGCCAGCATTTTGAGAGGAAGACAATGTTGTTTTTGCTTTTCAGTCCTGGTTTTTGGGAGCATTTTAAATATTGCTCCTTTCCATTCACTGAAAGTTGATTTGAACCAGAGGGTAATACTGTACCTCACCAGCACTGATAGGGAGGACTGTGCACATGAGGGTGAGGAGATTTCACAGTATCACCCTTCTGTTCTGAATGGTTTCCACAGAGACGGCACCAACAAATTCCGGTGACGTGAGGTGAAAATAAATGGACAACATAGCTTCAAAAGAATACAAACATTTGGGCTCTTACAAGAAAACTTGCATCAGGTCCAGAATTTTATTTTATGGGGCCCACTGTTAACAAAACTTTGACTGCTGATAGCATCAGTATTTAATATAAAAGGACTTAACATTTTCTTTGTGGCTATTTCTGTTTTGTGTAACTTTGGCACTGGGATTAAAATGAGAGAATCTTATGAATGTTTGTCCTACTGCAATACCTCATTCTTTCTCAATCTCACAAGAAAGTCACAGCCCAAAAGTCATAGAAAATACTGATTATTTTGGGATAAATGTTAATGCCATGTTGAAGATATCAAGCATCCTGTTTGAGCCTGACAAAATGCCTTCTTGGATGTACAGATGCTTTAAAAATATATTAAAATATATCTATAAATAGAAATGAGTTAAATAGTCAGTTGAAATATAGAAAATGTAGGGGTGCCTGGCTGGCTTAGTTGGTAGAGCATGTGACTCTTGGTCTTGGCACTGAGATTTTGAGCCCCATGTTGGATGTAGAGATTATTTAAAAATAAAATCTTTTTTTAAAAAAAGAAATACAGAAAATGTAGATCACAGACACACTTTCTTAATCACCACATTTTGCCTAATTGAGTCAACTAAACCTTTGCATACATGACAGCAGGCCCTCTGTTAGCATTTTTCTCCTGAAATGAGGGTTTGTTAGTGTCCTTGGGCCTCAGACTCACTGGCTTGAGTTTTTTAATAGAGGCTTGTTAAGACCTTTAATACCTGATATTTTAGTGGTGTAGAAAATGGGTAGACTGTAAGTAAAAGAAGTGGGATCATATGTTTATTTTTGCAAGAAAACAATTACAAAACTCTCTACCTTTAGAAAGGCTAATCAGCATCAGACTAACTTTGGGCTTATGAAAGTGTTGAGTAAGGTGAGAAAGGTTGGTGAGGGAAGAGAGTATTAAATCTCAAAGTCTGTTATCAAAGGAACAGTGCAGTCTCAGGTATGGAGGACTGTGCTTGGGAGGTTTGGGTTTTTTCCTGTAGGTAATGGGGAGCCATCTCCATTTAAGCAGGGAAGTCAAATACTACACACTTCTGCACCACAGATATTCAGTAAGTTCCTATTTTAAGCACAGCATTAGGGCAGTAAGGCAACAAAGATAAAGGGGTGGATATGGGACATTGGAAGGAAGACTAATGGGAATTGATCATGATTTGGGCTCAAAAGACCTGCAGTTTCTACTTTGAGAATTGGCACAGCATTGAAGGAATAAGAATTTTTAGGAAGAGAAACTAGTTTGTTTGGGGATCTAGTTGGAGGAAGAATAGGCAGTGTGAAGCTGACATGAGATGTGATAAATTTTCAGAAAAAAACCCTTTCCGAATACAAATATCTAATAATATCTGAACAGAACTATGAGTGAATCCTCTTAAAGATCAAAACAGAGGGGGAAAAAAACCTTTTTAAGACAACTAATATTTGGGCAGGATTTTACCGTTCCACATGCTTTGTATATATTAACCTCCTTTGAGTGCTAAGAACCTATGATATAGGTGATGTTATCTTCATTGATCACCAGGAGAAATTGGAAGAGAGGGATTTAGTTACTTGTCCCAATTCACAGGTAGTACATTAAAGAATTAAGGTTGAAACCCAGGGCTTCTTAGTACTAGTATCATGATAATGCAGGGAAATCTGTGAATCACTATACTACTTAAGAGAGTTACGTATAGGGTATGATCTTTCTGGAGAGGAACATGGCAATATCTGAGAACCTTAAAATTAATTATCATATACAATTCAGAATTCCACTTCCAGGAATTTACCTGAAGGAAATAAGACAAAGAGAAGGCTGTTTACTATTACACTAGTTCTGATATTTAAAACCAAAAGTAATATTTAATTTGAGGGGACTTAAATAAATTATGGTAAATAAGATGATTTAATGCCACATAACAATTAAAATTATGTTGTGGAACAGTATTAAAGTTATTAGAAATTGTCCATGGCATAATGTTAAGAAATAAAATCAGGGCAGAAGACTTTACATAGAGTATAATCTTATTTTAAATATAAATATGATTATGATATAGAAAAGAGTAAATTAATTACCTATTATGGTAATCATCTAACAAAATATGTATATCAAATCATATCGTTTATTTTATTTTATTTATCTTATTTTATTAAGTAGACTCCACACCCAATGTGGGGCTTGAACACACTACCCTAAAATTAAGTCGGATGCTCTACTGACGAGCCACCCAGGTGCCCTTGTACACTTTAAATATATATTGTTTTGTTGATTATCTCAATAAAGTTGGAGAAAAAAAGGATCTTAAAGAAAAGTCACAAATCAACAAGTGGCAGACAGCACAACAGAAAGATGGGCAGGATAGTTGAGTGTGTCTTTCACAAAAGAGAAAAAAAAACATTGAAAAGAAAGCATGTAAATGGTAACTGTTGTTATCTTGGAGTTTTGGGATAATGGGTGATTTTGTTGTCTCCACAGCTACCTGAGTTTTCCAACTTTTTACAATAAACAGGTGTAAGATAATCAGAAAAAGGTTGTAAATAAGTTCCTGACACAGAAAATGGTTAATAAATGGTAGCTGAGGTCTTTTACATTCAGAATACAATAAAAAGAAAGTAAAAATTACTTTTAATCTTACCACCCAGAGAAAAAACACTGTTTACACTTTGGTTCATTTGTTTTTACAAATTTACAAAAATGGGATCATGGTATTTGGCACTGTACATTTTAAATATATATCAGGAGCATCTCCATGTCAGAAATTATTCTTTTATACATCATTTTCAATAAATGTGTAGTATTATGTATGCATAGTGTCTATTTAATTGTTTTCTTTTCAATGGACACTTAGTTTTGTTGCTCTTCTATTGTTGTTACTAATTTTTCAATATTCCAGGCTGTGATGAATTCTCTGGAATATTGCTCTCTCTATTCCTATTGTATTTTCTGTGTCTATGGGTATACTGAATCTTTCCCATTTATTGGATGGACTAGCTAATATGTGTATGCTCGGGTGTGTGCATGAGCAAGTTTGTGTGTCTGTCTATATGTAAAATAATGACTCTGAGTAAAATGAAAGCTTCATGTTAGCCAGACAATCTAAGCATGTCTTTGTGGTGTCAGGCTATGCTGTGTGTGAAAGTCTTATCTGATGTGAGGTCACAATTACTCCTTGTCTTTGCCTTTTGTATGACCCCAATTCTACTCGGATTCCTTTTCTACTCTGCCTACAACATGTATTGTGTGCCTCATTCATTCCAGTTCACCACCCACTTAGAATTTGGCAAACTGATTTACAGTTGCTAAGCCAGGCAGTTCAAGGAGTTAACTGAAGCAAAAATGTACTCTGCTGTACACACACACACAACTATGCCAATAAAAGTTTCGGGAAGATCATTTCAAAGTCTTGACATTTTACTGCTTGGTAAGGCAAGTTTCCCCACCCACTCCCCCTCAAATATATGAAGTATTAATTTCAAAGCCTTCAAAAAGGAAAGAGAAAGGATAGAAATATCCTGCACATGATTACCAGAGCAAGACAGAAAGGGATAAGGCTTGAAAAAAAAAGCCTAAATTTTTTCCTAATACTTTTCTGGCTTAGAAGAACAAAAACAATAGAATTATGAAACCATGTCAATCACGTGTGGGAGCATGGTCCCCAGTCTGACCCACTTTGGTAGAGTGAATGGATTCTTGGTGAAAAGATAGCAGCTGTGTCACAAGTCCTCTATTATACCACCTGATTTTATTTTCTTTAAAATATTTATCACTCTGAAATGATTTCATTTATTTATTGTCTCTTTTTCCCCATTACAGTATACTCTTGAAATCAGGGACTGTTATCCATTTGCTTATGATGTATCGTCAGCAGAACCTATCCTAGTTCTTGGCACTTACAGGCATGCAGTAATATTTGTAGGATGAGTGAATGAAGGAATGGAAAAAAAGTATGAAGGCACTAAGTGTGTTAACTCAAATACCTAAAGAAATATTTGTGGCTAATAACTAGAGGATATAATATTAAAACTCATGTCTATACTGCCTTCTAACCATTTATATCCTTGAATTTTGAGTTAACTTCTGCAGACTCTTAATAACTGAATAGTCAGGATTCTTTTTTTTTTAAGATTTTATTTATTCATTTGACAGAGAGCGCAAACGGGGAGCATCAGGCAGAGGGAGAGGGAGAAGCAGGCTTCCCCCCGAGTGGGGAGCCCGATGCGGGGCTCAATCCCAGGACCCTGGGATCATACCTGAGCTGAAGGCTGACACTTAACCGACTGAGCCACCCAGGTGCCCCTGAATAGTCAAGATTCTTAAATAGACCTCTGTTAATTTCCTAGGAGCACATAGAATTCCTCCTGCTTAGTATTAAACAAAGATCCCCATAAAACAACAGTTTGAGTATTAGATAGTAGATTCTTAGATGCTTTCCTGTTGTGGACTGTGATTGAGATAGGCTTTTAGCTAGCAGAAAGATAACAGGAAGTAAAATTTCTGTTTATATTACCATAGGTAAGCTCAAGTGGATTTTAAGAACCAGCTTACAATAAAACACATATGATAAGGTTATTAAAATAGAAATGTAAGATTAAGAAGTACCTTAAAGAGATAGAAAGAAACATAAGTACTGAATATGCCCAAACAAAAGATAATATTGTTACTGTGATTTAAGTCTGAGCTTCCTTACTGATATATAATTCTCAAGGGAAGCTGACTGATCCACAGTTCTCAAAGAACACAAAAACTTAAATTTCAATTACTGAATTCCAAAGTGAAGACATTTTGTACATTTTTCTGAATAGTGGAGTCACAGTTTGGACATGGCCTTTTGTGTCTTTCATAGGATCACCCAGTATACTCCATACCAGCCAGAAGTGTCTCAGGGAAGACTGGAGAGTTTACTAAACTACCAGACCATGGTGTGCGACATCACAGGCATGGACATGGCCAACGCGTCCCTGCTGGATGAGGCCACAGCGGCCGCAGAGGCGATGCAGCTGTGCCACAGGTGAGAGGCCCACAGGGCGAGGGACATCCTCCAGTATCTCCTGCTGTGCGGACGGGACTAGCCCTGCAGTGCCCCGTGACTCACCTCTTCTCACACGCACACGCACACACGCGCGCGCGCACACAGTAGCATTATACCAATCAGCTGAGAGAACAAAAAAATCTGAAAAAATAGTGGCTTTTAAAGCCACTGTTGTTTACCGTTTAACATTACATAAGAAAAACATTTGGCTCTCCTCATCCATAGTGTTAAGTTCAGGGATGTTACAGGAGCTCTGAGATAGTATCAAGTTCCCCTCTCTCTGTGCCATCTTCAGTGTGAAGCCTTTGTCCTCATGGTCGCAAGATGACTGCTGGGGCTTTAACTATGACCTCTGCACCCACGAAGAAGGACAGGGGCAAGGGTGCTGCTAGCTAATTAAGTCCTCTTGAAAGAGTTTTTTGGCAACTTGCACTCAGCAACTTTATGCTTCATTGACCACCCATACCTACAAGTGACCTGGGGAAATGCAGTTTTTATTAGATGGGCACACTGCTGTGCCCTACGTATTAGGGTTCTATTACTATTGGTAAAGGGGAGAATGGATATTGGGTAAGAACTGGCAGTCTGTACTGTAATACACAAATGCCATCTTTCATGAAGCATATTGTTTTAGGTTGTATTTAAATGTTTTAGACCTTGTTTTCTTGTATTTAGCAATATATTGTGAGAAGATTTGCCTTAGTCAGCTTTCTAGGACATGGCTTTTATTGACTACCTGGTAGTACTTACTTGCACGAAAGTACCCCAATTTATGTAACTTCACCTCTATTGTTATACATTCACTTTGATACCATCTTTTCCTGTTACAGATGCTATTGTTTTACATCTTTAGAATCAATTTTGTCAAAAGTTCTGATGATTTCCTGAGGATGCATTTCTAGAAGTAGAATTGCTGGGTCATGGTATATAGTTAACGATTGCTCTCCAGTTCCCCACCTTCCTTTGTTCTTGGCCTTGTGAGTACTTTTGAGCTTACCTTCCTAGTAGAGTTCACATGTAGATGTCATCTGGTTGGGAAATCTGCCCATATTCACGGTGTGTCTGTGAGGTTTTGTGCTTCTGGCTCTGAATGCCCATGTAACTCTCTTTCTTGGCGTCCAGATACTTAGGGATGGTTAAATTGGTTCTGGTACCAAGTCCAATGTGTGCATCGAGGTTTTCCCCACACCAACAAATAATTCTTTAACAGCAGCAGGGTGTCCAAGACTTCAACTCAATTCTGACACAATCTATCTGGAGATAGCATCAGATTCCAGGGGTTAAGGGTTCAGTCTTACGAGACTGCCCTGCCCCCCTGACTCACTTCACCACACCCCACGTCATATGTCAGTGGCGAGCCCACGTTATTTCCTTTGCTTCTGCATGCCTGGCTATAAACCAGATGTTTCCAGGACACCCTCCTCAAGTTCATTTAATTTGCTAGAGCAACTCACAGAACTCAGAAACATTACTTACTAGATCACTGGTTTATTATTAAGGGAAAAAACAAGAATAGCCAAATGGGAGTGATACATAAGGCAAGGTATGTGGGAAAGGCGTGGAGCATCCATGCTCTCTTAGCTACACCATTCGCCTCCAATCTCCACCCATTCATCAACCCGAAGTTCTCCAAATGCCGTCCATTATGGTTTTTTATGGAGGCTTCATTACATAGGCAAAATTGATTAAATCATTGGCAATTGGCTATTGGTTTGACCTCCAACCCCTCTTCCTTGTGAGGTCGGGAGGTGGGACTAAAAGTTCCAGCCCTCTAATCACAGGGTTGGCTCCTCTGGCAACCAAACCCCATCCATGGACATTCTCCAAAAGTCACCTAATTAACATAAAAAAAGACATCTTTACATTCTCCACAATTAGGAAGTTTGGGGAGCTACGAGCCAAGAACTGTGGAGGAAGACTAAATATAAATGAAAATATGAAATATTTTGATATTGATATATTAAAAATTTGGTCATGACCAAATACATATTTCTTATAAATCACAACATTGCCATAGTGAACCCCAAACCTCCTTAGCAGGTATGAAAACCTCTAAATTTCCAGCCACAGGTTATTCTGCTTCCCAAGCAGCCTTAGAGGTGGGCTTAGGCTCTTCCTCCTGATCCTGGGTAGACAGCCAGAAAGGAATGCTTCTCTATTCTCAGCTTTTCACATTTTCATCTTATCTCATCCTTATCCACCTTCTTGCTGCTTTCTCATCTCCCTCTGCCTCTCTTTCTTAAGAGCTTCCATTTCACACTTGGAGAAGCTGAGGCCTTTCTGGTTGATGGTTCGGGGATTTGGTCCTGAACTGATTTGAGTTAATGAGCTATAGCTCTGCAAATGCTTGATTTGCTCTGCAAATGCTAGATTTACTTCCTCTCTTTTAATTCTCATATCTTCAGGCCTGCATTTAATTTGAAAAGCAGCCTTGTGGTTTTTATCTTTGGAAAGATAAATAAAATAATAATAAAAATTAAAATAGCAGTGTTTTTGTTTCCATCTTAGGTCGTTTAGGCTCAGATGGCTCTTTTCTCCCAATTTATTTAGATTCACACTGTGAAGAGCATTGTGCTTTGGATAATTAATAGCTTTTTTTATCTATACAACTCTACCTAATCCTCTATTAAATTTATGTTTATTATAAAAATACCTGTTCAGAGTGGGAAAATATGCAAACAGTAGAAAATATAACGAAGTGAACATGCTGTTTCTCAGTCCTGTTCCATTGAGAAAGCTGTTGTTATTGTGTATCTTTCTGGGAAATTAAATGCATAGCACAATGTACATGTGTTCCCCACCCTTTTTCCCCAGATGTGCTCATGATACATGCACTGTTATGTATCCTGTTAAAAAACAAAATTCAACCAAGCATATTTGAAGATCTAATTGGCTTTATTATTAAATGATTCATAAATTGGGCAGCATTCTATCTAGCAGGTAGAAAGTCTCCCTGAGGAGTTGTACAAAATGAAAGGTTTTTTTATAGGAAGGAAGGTGGGGCAAGAATGTGATAAGCAAAAGAAAAGAAAGATTTGTTCCAGGCAAGATCACCTTCCCTTAGGGGGAATGACAGGGGGTCTTATTATACAGATGACCTCTTCTAGCCCTTGGTGGATGGAGAAAGCTCATGTGACAGATTACCTCCTTTGTGCTTATCGGAAAATTCCTGACTCACAGGTTAAGACTACATTTCTGGAGGAGGTTGAAACCGCAATTAGCTTAGGTATTAAGCCCTGGTTTGGTGACTGGGCACAGCCCAAGAAACACCATTTTGGGCCTATGGTTTTCTTTTTAACAATCTCCATCAGTTTCGTTTCCTGAAATCAGGAACTTTTAGAAAACTCCCAGCATTTAGGTCCTTTAGTAGCTGTGTGGTCCTGCCCATGTCACTTCTCTGAGTCCTTTTCATCCTCTGTCGAATGAGGACATTTGGCTTAGATAAGCTTCTTTGGCAGTAAAATTCTCAGATGTTTTTTATTTCAAGAGTTAGTCTTTATTTCTACTTGTACCCCATCACTATCCTGTTTTTATTTCTCTTAACTTAGCATATTTAAAATAAATTTAAGCCAGTTTAAGATTGATTTTGCTAAATGGGGTTGGAATGGTGTTTTTTTTTTTTAAAAAAAAAACACCCAAATTCAGCTGAGTAAATTTGAAGATCTAATTGGCTTTATTCAATGATTCATGAATCGGACAGCATCCCCTCTAGCAAATAAAGGAGCGACAAAGGGCTACAGAAAGGGAAAGGATTTTTTTTTAACATCTGATTTAATTTTATTTTTTTCAAGTTTCTATTTAAATTCCAGTTAGTTAAGATACAATGTAATATTAGTTTCAGGTGTGAAATTTAGTAATTCATCACTTACATACAATACCCAGTGCTCATCACAAGTGCCCTCCTTAATACCCATCATCTATTTAGCCCATTCTCCACCCACCACTCCTCCAGCAACCCTCAGTTTGTTCTCTGTGGTTTGGAGTCTGTTTCTTGGTTTACTTCCCTTTTTTTTTTCTCCTACGTTCATCTGTTTTGTTTCTTAAATTCCACATCTGAGTGAAATCATATGGTATTTGTCTTTTGCTGATTGACTTATTTGGCTTAGCATAATACTCCCTAGCTTTAGTCACATCGTTGCAAATGGCAAGATTTCATTCTTTTTTTTTTAAATTTAATTTAATTTTTTAAAGATTTTATTTATCAGAGAGAGAGAGAGCACAGTCGGGATTAGCAGACAGAGGGAGAAACAAGCTCCCTGCTGAGCAAGGAGACCAATGTGGGACTCAATCCCAGGACCCTGGGATCATGACCTGAGCCGAAGGCAGACGCTTAACTGGCTGAGCCACCCAGGCGTCCCAAGATTTCATTCTTTTTTATGGCTGAGTAATATTCCAGTGTGTGTGTGTGTGTGTGTGTGTGTGTGTGTATACAGATCACATCTTCTTTATCCATTCATCAGGCAATGGACAATTGAGCTGTTTCCAATTGTTTTCCCACAATTGGCTATTGTTGATAATGCTGCTGTAAACATTGGGGTGCGTGTACCCTTTGAACCAGTATTTTTGTATCCTTTGGGTAAATACCTAGTAATGCAATTGCTGGATTATAGGTTAGTTCTATTTTTAAATTTTTGAGGAACCTCCATGCTGTTTTCCAGAATGGCTGCACCAGTTTGCATTCCCACCAACAGTGCAAGAGGGTTCCTCTTTCTCCACATGCTTGCCAAGACCTGTTTTTTCCTGTGTTGTTGATTTTAGCCATTCTGACAGGTGTGAGATAATATCTTTTTACAGTTTTGATTTGTATTTCCCTGATGATGAGTGATGTTGAGCATCTTTTCATGTGTCTGTTGGCCACCTGGATGTCTTCTTTGGAAAAATATCTATTCATGTCTTCTGCCCATTTTTTAACTGGAATATTTGCTTTTGGGGTGTTGAGTTTTATAAGTTCTTTATATATTTTGGATGCTAACCCTTTATCAGAGCATTTGCAAATGTCTTCTCCCATTCAGTAGATTGCCTTTTAGTTTTGTTGATTGTTTCCTTAGCTGTGCAGAGGCTTTTTATCTTGATGAAGTTCCAGCAGGTCATTTTTGCTTTTGTTTCCCTTGCCTCAGTTGACATATCTAGTAAGAAGTTGCTTTGGCCAATGTCAGAGAGGTTACTGCCTGTGTTCTTCTCTAGGATTTTTGTGGTTTCATGTCTCATATTTAGGCCTGTCATCCATTCCGAACTTATTTTTGTGTATGGTGTAAAAAAGTGGTCCAGTTTCATTCTTATACATGTTGCTGTCCAATGTGAAAGGGAAAGGTTTTTATTTTTTTATTTTTTATTTTATTTTATTTTTTTTATTTTTTTAAGGATTTTATTTATTTATTTGAGAGAGAGAGAGAGAGAGTGAGAGAGAGAGAGAGCATGAGGGGGTGAGGGTCAGAGGGAGAAGAAGACTCCCCACTGAGCAGGGAGCCCAATGTGGGACTCGATCCCAGGACTCCAGGATCATGACCTGAGCCGAAGGCCGTCGCTTAACCAACTGAGCCACCCAGGCACCCTATTTTTTAATTTTTTTAAGATTTTCTTTATTTGAGAGACAGAGGGAGAGAGCATGAGCAAGGTGAGGGACAGAGGGAGAAGGAGAAGTAGACTCCCCACTGAGCAGAGAGCCCAGCTGTGGGGCTTGATCCCAGGACTCTGGGATCATGACCTGAACCGAAGGCAGCCTCTGAAAGGGAAAGGTTTTTAAAGGGGGTGTCAAGGAAGTCATAAACAAACAAAAAAGGGATTATTTAGAGCAAGGTCACTTTCCTTTGGGGGACAAAAAGAGTCTTATTAGGTGAATTACCTCATTGGTGCTTACCAGGAAATTCTAGACTGACCAGTTAAGATTATATTACTGGGGAAGGTTGAAACTATAATCAGGTATGTATGAAGCCCCAGTTTGGTGACATGAACCTAGCACAAGTGACTCCATTTTGGGCCTATGGTTTTCTTTTCAAGAACGGAAATTGGATTTCAGTAGAATTCTGATCAGTAGAATTAAGGACTCATTTTTTACATTGTGCTCAGAGTTTCCCTAAGTACCACCTTTGCTTTTCATTCTTAGAAGATACTTTGATTTCTTTAATGTTCATGTTTGAATGTGATTTTCCTTTTCAACAGGCACAACAAGAGGAAGAGATTTTTTGTTGACCCGCGTTGCCACCCACAGACAATAGCTGTCGTCCAGACTCGAGCCAAGTAATTAATTTCATTCATATTTTGAACTCAGGGATAATATATATCATGCTCATCACCGTTGCTTCTCTCTCTTACTTCCAAACTGATTGGAGGTGAACCTGGTTTAAATTGAGGTTGTTCAGTTTTGCTTTCCTTCCCACTTTCTTCCTGAGATCTTGCCTAGTAAGTAAAATGTGTCAGAATTGAGAGAACACAGAAGTGGCCTTAGTTGCCTTTGCTTTATATTGAGTAACCATGTTGTTTGTTTGTTTGTTTGTTTTAATTAAAAATATTAAAATAATTTCAGCAATGTTTTGGAAGGCTTGAGAAGTAGAGGGAAAAAATGGAATTCTCACACAGTTGTTAGAGTTTAGTGTGTGCAACTGCAAACATAGTTTATAAAGGATCCATATAAAGCCTAGGTGTGGTATGATATAGACGAAAGCAAGCGTACTGTATTTGTTTAGTGCTGTAATCAGATAAAAACAGCACAGCTATCACCTGCCGGTGTGTCTGTTTGCTCTCTTCTTGTAAGAACGGAGCAATATTCCCCAACCCCATACCACCATCCCTTCAGAAGGGGTGTTCTCACATAGAATTGGAACTGGGTGGTTAAGAAAGGTCTTTCTCTTTGTCTTATTGATGGTTTTCCATTCACCTAAAACTGATCTCAGGTGAAAGTGGTGACTGCTCTGTAGTTGCAGGAGTTGGTTCTTTAGTCCTAGGAAGCCATGTTCCTGACCTTCTCAGGAGCAGGTTCTGGCAAGAAAGGGGGGAATGGGTGTGGTAAGCGTGGAAGAGAGAAACAGAAGCCAAGCTGTTGGAAGCACTCAAGATGGTGTGAAGTTCTGTTACCAATGAAAGGTCAGGTGTGAGATGGATGTGTGTGTGTGTGTGTCAGGATGAGGTGGGGGTGGGGGGCAATGAGGAAGGACACTGAATATGGGCACTCTATCACTGAAAATAAATTGTAAGGGGTTTTATTTTCTCTTGAAAACCAAAAGCATGATTGCTCTTTGTCTTCTGTCTTTCCAGATACAATGGTGTTCTCATTGAGCTGAAATTACCCCATAAAATGGACTTCAGTGGAAACGATGTTAGTGGAGTGCTCTTCCAGTACCCAGACACCGAGGGGAAGGTGGAAGACTTCACAGAGCTTGTGGAGAGGGCCCATCAGACTGGGGTAGGCAAATCTCTCCTTGTGGGGGTCCATGGAGGTATGTCCCAACTTTGAATTACGATTTTTTGATGCATCTTAGTTTCTATAACTGTATCACCTAGAATGGTAAAACACTCTCCTTCCTGCCTCCTTTTCTCAAGTTTATTTTGTTCATTAATTTCTGGCGCATAGTAAGCACTCAGTAATTTTTTAAAAAAAGATTTTAATTTATTTGAGAGAGAGAGAAAGAGCCTGAGCAGGGGGAGGGGCAGAAAGAGAGGGATTAAATAGGCCCCCTGCTGAGTGGGGAGCTTGATGTGGGGCTTGATCCCAGGGCCCTGAGATCATGACCTGAGCCACCCAGGTGCCCCTCAGTAAATATTTTTGAATGAATCAGTGAGTAAATGGAATTCACAGGGTATGAAACAACCCTGTCTGTCTGCTTATATTGCAGATAATTTGCTATTCTCTCACTGCTCCCCGGGTGAAGGTGACAACTACCACCACTTTCTCTCTTGTGTCCTTTCTAGAGCCTGGCCTGCTGTGCTACCGACCTTTTAGCTCTGTGTATCTTGAGGCCTCCTGGAGAATTTGGGGTAGACATTGCCCTAGGCAGCTCACAGCGATTTGGAGTGCCACTGGGCTATGGCGGACCACATGCAGCCTTTTTTGCTGTTAGAGAAAGCTTGGTGAGGATGATGCCCGGGAGAATGGTGGGGGTAACAAGGTAATGAAGCTCATGTTTCTCCCCTTTGATTGTGTTATTATTTTCCCTGTTTCTTCTGATTACAAAAGTTGTTGATTTCTCTCTGAATTTAACTGGGCCATGCACAATAATTTACAACATACTTGTATTCAAGTCACATAAGTGAATTTAATTAGGTTGACAAAAGCATTGAAAGACTGGACATTTTAGGTGGTTTTATATCTCACCACTTTCATTCTCAAATGCATTGTCATGCCACACAGTTAGGTAAAAGACAAGCACAGTGAGAGATTACCATGTACACATTGTAATCCACATTATTTCCTAGAGGCCTGCTACTTGTTTGTTCTAGTAATTTCTAAATGTACTTTCTCAAGTGCTTCTCATTGATACACCTCCTCAGATTAAGAATTTAGATGAATGTCATGATTATTACTGGGGAAATTTAGCATGCCCTTTTAGACCTTTCAAAGAAGTTAGACTTACTAGCCCAAGTGAATAGTCTATATTAGTGAATAATTTGAATCTTTGAAATGCAACTTATCACATAATAGCAAGAGGCACCTCGCTTTTTAGTGTAAAAATAAGTTTCTTCAAGTATTCTTACATTTGTTTCTTTCAGTGATGTATCTTCACCAGGTAAGATGAGGCAGAAAGTTTTCTAATTAAAAAGAATTTAATATATTAATTATTGTCTGCTGATTTTTCTTTAAAGATTTTATTTATTTATTTATTTGTCAGAGAGAGAGCACAAGTTGGGGAGAGGCAGGCTCCCTGCTCAGCAGGGAGCCTAATGTGGGGCTCCATCCCATGCATGACCTGAGTCAAAGGCAGATCCTTAACCGACTGATATACCCAGGTGCCCCTTTCTGCTGATTTTTATATTGAACTTCTTATCTTGCTGAAAAAATGGACCCAGAGTTTGATGAAATAAAGGATAAGACTGTTGAATCTTTTCTTTTTTTTAATTTTTAAATTT